TCTTGTCTTGTCTTGTGAACACTGCTTTCAAAATCATCTTTCTTCTGCTTGTCCCTTGATTGAACCACCCCCTCCGAGCAGGGCTAAGGAGGTTAATCTAGCGCAATACGCGAATAAAGGGGAAGGACCTTGGGCCCAGAACAATCAGGAGCATTGGCGGGAGAGAAATAGTTTTCCAAGAAACAATCGTCCCAGGGATGACTATAAACAAGGTAACTGGAATAACAATAAAACCAATTACCAAAATACCAATGCACCCTACGTCCCACCTCATAATCGCCAACCACCGCAAGAAGATTCCTTGGCAAGGATGGAGAAGATGATGATGGAGTACATGCAGAAGATGAACAATCTAGCAGATGATATGAAGGAACGTGACAAGACACGGGATAGCCAACTCTAGCAAGTGTTTAAACAACTTGGAGTTAGAGAACAGGGGAACCTCCCAGCTACCACTGAACCAAACCCACGGGAGCAACTTCGGGCAATAACTTTGAGAAGTGGTAAAGAGCTTCAAGGCCCAGAAGTCGAAGTCAATATAGATGAAGTACCCGTGGGTACCTCTATAGGAACAACCCCACAAAAGAAAACTGAATCCACACCCCAAGGGGCGGGAAGGGAAGAAACCTCTTCTAGCCAACCCCTACCAACCAAGCAAGCTCAGCTAAACACTATCCCTTTTCCTACTAGGGTGAAAAAGAACAAAGATGAAAAGGCTTTCCAAAAGTTTCTCGATGTCATTGGCCAAGTTGAGGTCAAAATGCCTTTGGTAGATGTGTTAACTGAAATGCCCAAATATGGTAAGTTCTTAAAGGACCTCGTAACTAAGAAGAGGGACTGGGAGGAATTCCCAGTTGTCAGCTTAAATGTTGAATGCTCTGCTATGTTACTTGAGGAAATGCCTAGAAAACGAAAGGATCCTGGATGTTTCATCATCCCTTGCTCCATCAACGATAGAACCTTTGGAGACGCTCTAGCTGACCTAGGAGCTAGCATTAATTTAATGCCGTCCTCTATCATGAAAGCACTGGGATTGACTGGACTTAAACCTACCCAAATGTGTCTTCAATTGGCGGATAGCTCTATTCGTTACCCTCGGGGGGTGATTGAAGACGTGCTTGTGAAGGTGAATAAGTTCATCTTTCCTGCTGATTTTGTGGTGTTGGATATGGAAGAAGATAAGGAAAAGCCGCTACTACTAGGGCGACCATTCCTTGCGACCGCAAAGGCATTAATTAATGTGCACGACGGAGAATTAACTCTAAGAGTAGGGAATGAAGATGTCACTTTTAAAATGATGAGCGTCATGAATCGAACTCCAGACCCAGCTGAGTTCTGCAACTCAGTAAAAGTCATAAAAGATAAAGGGTTGTAGAAGATCTCCTAAGCCTAGAAATTGCTTTTCAAGACCCTAAGTGTGAGGAGGTGTGCGGTATAAAGACGCGATCTGAACCCACAAACGAAGAACTTAAACCCTTACCATCACACCTCGAATATGCTTTCCTCGATAGTGAAGGCCAGTGCCCTGTTGTCATAGCCTCCGATCTAACACCTGATCAGAAGGAAAAATTACTAGCTGTCCTCCGTATGCACGGAAACTAGAGGATATTCAAGGAATAAGCCCCGCTTATTGCACACATAAAATAGCCATTGAGGACGGATTTAAACCGGTTGTGCAAGCTCAACGCAGGTTGAATCCAAAATTAATGGAAGTAGTGCAGAAAGAAGTGCTTAGACTCTTGGATGCTGGAATAATTTATCCTATTTCAGATAGCCAATGGGTGTCACCAATCCACGTCGTTCCAAAAAAGGGAGGGATGACAGTAACCAAAAATGAGAAGGGAGAGTTAGTTCCAGGAAGAACGGTAACTGGATGGCGAATGGTCATAGACTATAGAAAGTTAAATGATGCCACACGTAAGGATCATTTTCCCCTTCCTTTTATTGACCAACTCATCGAGAAATTAGCTGGCCATGCGTATTATTGCTTCTTGGATGGGATGAGTGGTTACTTCCAAATCCATGTAAACCTTGAAGACCAGGAGAAGACCACTTTCACTTGCCCGTTCGGAACCTTTGCATTCCGTCGAATGTCATTCGGACTCTGTAATGCTCCTGCCACCTTCATGAGGTGTATGATAGCTATTTTCGAAAAGTTTATAGGGGATTTTATGGAAGTCTTTATGGATGATTTCTCTATCACAGGAAAGTCATTTGACGAATGCCTAGGTAATCTGGAAAAAGTCCTCATAAGATGCGAGGAAACTCACCTAGCCCTTAGTTGGGAAAAATGCCAATTCTTAGTCAAAGAAGGGATAGTCTTAGGTCACAAGGTATCAAGTCGCGGGGTAGAGGTGGATCGTGCTAAGATCGAGACTATAGAGAAACTGCCACCACCGAATTCCGTAAAAGCCATCCGAAGTTTTCTAGGGCATGCAGGATTCTATAGAAGATTTATCAAAGACTTTGCTAAAATAGCAAAACCCCTAACTGCCCTATTAGAAAAAGGTATAGAGTTTGTTTTCACGGATGAATGTTTATAAGCGTTCAATACCTTGAAAGAAAAACTAATCTCAGCCCCAGTTCTTATTGCCCCGGACTGAGCACTACCGTTTGAACTAATGTGTGACGCTAGCGACTTAGTAGTAGGAGCAATCCTTGGACAAAGGAAGGAAAAGGTCTTTCACCCAATTTACTACGCTAGTAAAACCTTATCAGGAGCGCAGCTCAACTACACAACCACTGAGAAAGAATTCCTAGCAATTGTATACGCTTTGGAAAAATTCAGGCCTTACATCATTCTTTCTCCAGTTGTCGTTTACACCGACCATGCGGCGTTGCGATACTTGTTGCGAAAGAATGATGCAAAGCCTCGGTTATTACGTTGGGTTTTATTGTTGCAGGAATTTGATTTACAGATCAAGGATAGAAAAGGATCGGCAAATCAAGCTGCAGATCATCTATCTCGACTAGATGTGGAAGTAGCCGAGCAATTTGGCAATTGTATCGTAAACGAGTCCTTTCCCTTTGAGAGGATCTACGTTATACAAGAAAAGGAGCCTTGGTATGCAGATATTGCCAACTTTTTGGCAGGGAAGATCGAGCCTACCTTGTTGACACCGCACCTAAGCAAGAAGCTTAAGCGAGAAGCCCACTTCTATTTTTGGGACGACCCCTACCTTTTCCGGATTTGTGCGGACCAAGTAGTTCGGCGATGCGTGACTGAAGCAGAAGGAAGGGAGATTTGGCAGCCTGCCATAGTGGCCCAGTTGGTGGACACTTCTCAGGAGCAAGGACAGCAAGAAAGGTGTTGGACTCAGGATTCTTTTGGCCAACGCTTTTTAGGGATGCTAATCAGTTTGCTGCTTCCTGCGACCGCTGTCAAAGAACGGGCAATATATCCAAGAGAGATGAGATGCCAAAAATTACATGCTACCATGTGAAGTGTTCGATGTATGGGGGATCGACTTTGTGGGGCCATTCCCGAGTTCTTATGGTAATAAATACATCCTCGTTGCTATCAACTACGTCTCCAAATGGGTTGAAGCCCAAGCTTGCAAAAGAGACGATGGCCGCACTGTAGTTTGCTTCTTGAAGAAACTGTTTTCAAGATTCGGAGTTCTGAGATTGATAATAAGTGACAGGGGTACCCATTTCCGAAATGATCCACTATCTAAGGCATTGGAACGCTATGGAGTTCAGCATAGAGGAGGAGTGGCGTACCATCCGCAGACTCAAGGGCAGGTGGAGAATGCAAACAGGGATTTAAAGAGAATCTTGGAGAAGACTGTTTCCAGAACGAGGAAGGATTGGAGCGAGAAACTAGATGATGCTCTATGGGCATTTCGCACGGCATATAAAGCACCAATTGGTACAACTCCCTTTCACTTGGTGTACGGAAAGTCTTGTCACCTTCCAGTTCAAATTGAGCATAAGGCATTATGGGCATTACGAAATGTTTGCCTTGATTCTTCTGAAGCCGGGCATGAAAGATTTTACCAGCTAGATGAGCTAGACGAATGGCGAGCATTAGCATTCCACAATGCTAAGCTATACAAGGAGAGGATGAAGTTTTATCACGATGCTCATATTAAGCAGAATAGGGTCTTTCGCGAAGGTGAAAAAGTGTTGCTTTATAATTCTCGTTTGAGATTGTTCCCAGGAAAGCTTCGCTCCCGATGGACAGGGCCTTACACAATCACCAGAGTTTTCCCGTATGGAACCGTGGAGTGTAGAGGGGAATCTGGAACGTTCAAGGTCAACGGTCAACAGATCAAGAGGTATTTCGGCGAGCAGTTTCAAAAAGGGAAAGTGGAGGTTAAACTCCACAAGTGAAGCAATCGCGTCAAGCTAGTGACGTTAAAGAAGCGCTGAACGGGAGGCAACCCGTTATTTCTAACTTATTTAGTTATTATTTTCTATTGTTCCTTTCTTTTGAATAAATGAATAGAGACTTGTCGCACCTGCGTGGGGGCAAGATTTTATATGTGTGTTTCATGTGCAGATGCCTCACAGACCAGCATACCCGACTGCTACGCGTGTCGATGTTCACCTGGTGGGTTCTGGCCAGCGCTTTGAGATGTGGGGTCGTCACCGCTCATTGACGGAATATGTGTACTTATCCTCGGCAGTTCTCGCCGACTACGGATACGCTGAAGAGATGGAGCAGCTGCTACAAGGGACTAGGTGGCATCGCCTCTTCATGATGCGGGCCGAGTCTAGCTTGCCACTGAAGATCGAGTTCCTGTGCTCTCTAGAGTTGGAGCCATCTACAGGGTCGAGGTCGATGAACTTCCAGTCCATCGACTCTCGTACAACCCTCACTTTCACTCTCTTGGGGCGAGGATTTCAGCTGACGGTCGCCGATCTGGCTACACACTTGGGTCTCTACAGTTGGGAGGAAACATCGGCGCCAGAGTTCGATGCCGCACCATACCTTCTCCCCACAGACATTGATCCAGCTGACTTCTGGGCGGAACACTCTTCCGATCCAGACCGTTTCGAGGGCATGGGCCGAACCAGGTTTTGGATTCAGCCGACTTGGCGAATCCTATCCTTCGTGCTTTCGACATCTTTCTTTGGGAGGCCGTTGAACATAGACCGGGTATACCCCGACGATTTGATTGTCTTCTGGAGCCTGCACACACGCCGGGAGGTGAATGTGGCTGTCTTTGTAGCCCGATTCCTCTACAGTCAGTCCATGGGGAATCGGACGCACATTGTTTGCGGTTTCGTGGTCACCATACTCTTCCGATCCCTCGAAGGGTCGGCACCTATTCCACGGGCTCAGATGATGATGCGAGATTTGGATGCCGGCATGCTGAGGAATGCCCACATCCGTCGAAGGTTGGGAGCTGGTTCTACCGAGAGCAACGCCGCCTCCTCATCTGCGCCCTCGACCTCAGGAGCATCTTCGCAGGTCTCGTCTAGGAGAGCCACTCGCCGCCGACCCACTCCTCAGGCCACCCCAGCTACGACCCAGGCTGATCCGACCCCTGAATGGGCCAGGAGGATCCTGGAGCAGCAGGATACCATCCTGCAGAGGATGTCCGAAATCGGACAGCAGCAGGCATCCCAGGCGGAGAACTTTGCTCAGCTTCAGAGGACATTTACTAGCTTTTACTCGGATGTGCACATCGGGCTCACCCCACGTTCTCCTGAGGGCGACGATCCATCCGCCTCAGTTCCTCCCCCTTCGTGATCTTCATATTATTTTCTATTGAGAACTTTTATTTCTTTTCGTTTATGAGCAGGAATTGATGATCAACTGGACTTGTTGGAACTTCTTATTTTCCGCTGGTAACATTAACTTATGCACTTGCTCTGATCTATTCCTATTTCAATCAACTTCTTTTGATTTATCGATGTGTGAGTTCTCTTGTTATTAGTCAATCATTCCAACCCGGTATTATACTCCTAACATTTTTTTTTCCCAACTGCGGGGACGCGGTTGTGTTCAAGTGTGAGGAGGGCACTCACCTGGTTGAAATGATTGAATGAAACGTGTTTTACTTGTATACTTATAGGCAATCTTGATTTTAGCGTAATCATCAGTCTAATATTGAATAGCTAATTGATGGGGTGTCAAGCATATAAACTGAGAATTTTCATGGTATTTGGCAAACTCTTATTTTTACGTGATTTTTTTTCTGAATAGACTATTACCATGGTTGAAATTAACTAGTATTTTCTTAAAAAGGTTTCCTAAGTCAGATACTTTAATTACTTTTAAAAGCTATTGATTTCACCAGAACTTTTAACAATGTGTAAAGGTCTGCATTAAACTTTTGCTTCTTGTAACCTCTAATCATGATTTTTCGCTAAGATTGCGCTTAAGTGACGAATTGGAAATTCTATCTTCGTAAAGGGGCATAAGGCGAGGGAGCAAGTATGCATTTGTCATAGAATAAATCCACAATCTTGGTGAAATAATTAAGTTTCTGTGAAATGAGAAGTTTTCTCGTCGAGAAACAACACAAATTGAAGTTATTAAGACCTTCACATTATTGGCAATTATTCGTGAATAATGGACTTCACAAGGGATAGTTGAATCTATTTGATCTTAATAACTCTTTTAAGAAATACATTCGTTTCAGTAAATGGTCTACTTCAATTTGATTTAATCAAGTAAAAATACATGTTTGGTAAAATACTTGCACATTTTCAGGGAAACGGGAGACAACTCTAAAAATTTAGCTATTCAACGAAGTCTGATGATTATGTTAGTTGAATTGGCTTCATAATGATGCAATTAAAGCTCCTTTCAGCAATAATAATAGAATGCCATATTTTCGGTGGTCTGAAGTAGTTGCTTGAGGGCAAGCAACGTTTAAGTGTGACATCCCCTTCGTGAGTTGTTTCTAGAATCTCCCAAGCCTTCTTTGCTTCGGTGCAGTTGGAGATCAGGCGATACTTTGAGCTGTCAATAGCTCCAAAAAGTGCATTGAGTGCTCTGTCATTGCATTCAGCCAGTGATGCCTCTTCCTTTGAGTATATTTCAAAGGCTTTAGCAACACTTTCTCCTTCCGCGTTGGTCTCTGTGGGTTCAGTCCACCCGGTTTCTATACTCCTCCAAACTCTACCAACTTGCAACTTTAAGAAGGCTCTCATGCGCCCCTTCTAGAAATTGTAATTTGGCCCACGTAACAGTGGTGGTCGTTGAACATTCGCACCTTCCTCCATGTCCCCCATGATTGATCAAGCTAGTAACTTAAGCTTAACAGGCTCTGATACCAAATGAAATTGTTGTAGAGATTCACAACCTCAACAGAATAACTCTCTACGAACAATTTAATCCAACCACCCACATGCTGAGTTTGCTGGGACACACAAAGTGCTGAAACACTTTCTTTGTCACAACCAGTCAGACAAAAACGTAAAAGATATATAAAGCAGTAAACCAAACACGAGAATTGTTTACGCAGTTCGGAGAAATTCTCCTACTCTACGGGGCCCACGTCCGTGTAATAGCCCGTCCACTAAATCACTGCAAAGATTACAACTTCAACCACCGTAGGTACCAATAAGTGGATTGAACTAATCTACTACAGATGACTTAAACATATAACTCTGTTAGTGTTTCTCCCAATGGCATATTACACCAACCTTGATAACCTCTGTTATTGGACGTGCTGACAGCCCTTTCTCCAGCCCTTCTTAGTTCACCAGCTGGATGTGGTTTTCATCAAAACCAATCATGGATCTATAGAATGATCTTCGAACAGCCCACGAACTTCTTGTGCTCTCAACAGCACCGTATCTCAGGAAGAATCAAACATGATTCCCTTCTGATCTCTTTTTGTAGCTAGGGTTTTGGCTCTCTCAATGTATTTCTGGAATTTGTGATCTCTTTCTCTCTCACCAATTTTCACCATCGTGAGATCATGCATATATATATATATATATATGCATGGACATCAGAGAACCCTAGTCATATTCGTACTTGAACTCTGCGGTAAATCACAGTCCTAGACTGCGTAGAACTTTATGGCAGCTCCGTAGGAATCCTTCTCCAGAAAGTCTTCTCTAGCCCACAGAGAAAAGACACATGCATGACATGGCAGGACTCTACACCCAATCAGCTAGAAAAGTTACGTACAAACATTCCTACTTATTTGTTTTTGTCACAAGGATAAAGCCAACAAAGAATAAACAAAATAAACAATAGCTCTCCCCCTTAGTAACTAACCCAGAGAACTAACAGAAAGCTCAACATGATCATAGTCCTTGGGCTAAACTGGTTCGAGCAAAATACATGAAGGATGGCTGCATCAAAGAACGTCTCCCAGATTCCCCAACTTGGAAACGCATATGTAGAATACATTCTCTGGGCATATCTCACACACAATGGAACAATGGGCATGCCCTTTGGAATAACGGTCAATTCTCTCTCAAGCAAGCATTTAGAGCCACTTGAAGATCAGATATCTGCACTTCTCTCAACCAAATTTATCTGGCACAAAGTGCAAATCCCAAAGCTTCGTTTATTGCAATGGAAGATCTTCAACAACTGCCTTCCTTTCCCTACAAATCTTCGTGTTGGAGTTGGTGCCCTTATGGCCAACTGCTGTTGTAATATCTTAGTGATTTTCTATCATGTAATGGCAGATGCATTAAGTTTACAAACATCTCATGCTAATGTAAATTCTTAATTGCATTCCTAGAATTATATTATAAGATGTTTAACAGAATGAGTCTTCTGATGTTGAGACTGACATTTTGTCACTTAGTATAATTCTAAATGGTCTATAGTCGAAGCATTAACGAGAGCGGGATATCGTTAGTGCGTGTGAGACTAGTGAGAGTTAGATGTTTGACCTAGTCTCTTGGTCAATGACGGAGTGTTCGCATCTACTCTCGGGCAGATATTATCGTTAATAATAGGATGCCAGACCTGACCCACCTTAAGGACATTGCCTAGACTTTTAGTCTATGCTCTAAGTGTCCTTAATGCGACTATTGGTATAAC